GGTGGCCGTGAAACTTCAATAAAATCTCGAGTTTTCTCACTAAATGTCAAAACACACATTAAACTCACATCTAGCATCACTCCCGTCACATTACTGCACGCAGAGAGTACGACTATCGGAACAGCTGTTGTGTCAGTTGATGTCAACTCGTTGAAGTGAGCAATCTAAAAATACGAAAAATATTCGAGTTCCACGACGTAAAATGGGTTTTCAATAGCAAAATATTATTCCTTATAAAAATGTAAATTTTCAATTCTCTCTGTGAAAAAAGGCAAAAATTTTGAAAAAATTCCTTTGCGAATTCACCACTGATATACTCCTAAAATTAAAATTTCACATTTTCTCGATAAACTCATCACCAGCGAGTCCAAGAAAACACCCGAGAAATATGTAGTCTTATCTGCATGAAAAATCACATACCATAAAAATGTTAAAATAACTTCGTATTTTCATGCCTATCATAACCTCATATTTTTATCATAAAACCACGTGAACTGTTTTCTCCATAAAGTTAATGTATGTCTCATTCTCCCCAGCAAGTTTTGTGGCGCGCGGTCCTCAGGCTCACTTAGTTACTCAAGCTATAGTGGCTAAAGTTATAGTAAAGCTATAGTTAAGCTACTAAAGCTAAGTTATAGTGGCTAAAGTCTAATTTTGTGGCGTTTGCGCCACAAAACTTCCTGGGGAGAATGAGACTCACATCAAGCCTACTACTACTATTCACAACAACTAGAATCCAAAACTATGTTTATGTCGTTCTTGTAGACTACACACATCCTCCTCCCTCCCTAGTATTACTTCTTTCAAAGTTCCCTCCAGCGCTGTGATATCCACCGACCCCGTAACGGGGTCCAACGGAAGCTCCTGAACATTCCCATCAAATGCAAAAAGCGCGCGCCATCTTAATCGATTTCATACCACCGAGTTACAAACCCCAAAATAAAATTTCCCGAATGCATTTTCGATGATAACAAAAACCAATACCACAGCGTGAAAAAATATGAAAAATTCCGAAAAAAATTGGATCTTTTCTCATTAGTTTCGGCACGCTTTTACCAAAATTTCGTATGTGAACCTCCAAAATCCAATATTATTCTACTTCACATATATCGTAATGAACAATGTTCATCAGCGCGGAAAAATATGAACATGATCAACTACGTGAATTGATAACATAAAAACTCTGAGAAAAATTTTAGGGAAATTTTTCGTTGATTTTTGTACATTCCTACTGAACTCGTAAAAATGAGAATAACTACTCGAAATTTTTTTGGAATTTCCTCATTATCATCTACACATGTAGTTGACCATGTGCATATTTTTCCAAGCTGATTTCGATAGACAACAATGGAGTTTCACAACTCGTTTTACGTGAAGTGGCGTCGTAAAACTCGTCGTGAAAAACGCGATATTCGTGAAATATGTTTTTCATATCACTAGGGTGGTGGTGAAACTCCAATATACAAGGCGCTCCTAACAAAATGTGTTATTTTCTGTGAATTTCACTCAGCTGCTGAGATACCATTAAAAAGCACTCGTCAATATCTTCCTAATACGCCTCCTCTCACTAGAAAATTTAGTAAACCACATTTTTTTCGATTACGCTATATATATTTCAACACTACCCCAACATGAACATTCCCATACTACTTTCAACTCCGTCTCGAACACGTTATCAACACTATCGTCAACTACTCCTGAAACTTTGTATTGTGAGCCCGTCACTGAAAGAGAATTGAAATCAATTTGTAAACCGCAGTAAAGCTTCAGCCGTTTTACGTAACATTCATGTGCAAAAAACGCGATATGAAGTGAATCGAAAAAACACTCCCAGTGCTTCACCGGCTCAAATGCAGTTTTCGCGAAATTAACTGTGAAATGTGAGGCGGTTATAATATATTGCAGTTTCACGATTACCCGTTTTACGTGAAGTGGCGTCGTAAAACTCGTCGGAAAAA